TACTATAGGGAAACATTTCAATTATTCATCAATGACTTGAATAGTATAGATTGTGTATATCATTCATTTATTTACATAAAATTATACATGTGTCACAGTGCATCGTCTACTTAGATCTTAAGAGAAATTATCGGTTTAGTTTGTTAAATAATTATCTGTTACTATCGTGATATTATTTTAATTAATCCAAAGTTTTATATTATATCAACAAAAATTTAAATGAAAATGTACAAATGGTTATTTTAAATAAACGCTGCTCTGCCTTATTGGGCTTCAAATTACTTCTTCTCTTGTTCATTTTTTTTAAAAGCGCCATCTAATTTATTATATAAGTAAAGAAATTTTATCAAAGTGGTACGTAGAAAAGACGCTAGATGGCTTATTCACAAAAAATATTATCGTGTTTATCTAATTCATTCATAACAATCCATGATTTATAAACTTACTATATTAATATTATTTTTTTTTTGGCTTAGGCCCCTAATAAATTAATATTAATAAAGTAATGCTAGAGCATCTACTTTAGGTACATATCACCTTGAAAGTCAATCAGTTTTGTTTGATAAAATGACTTTACTTAAAGAATGTAATAGATGGCGCTATTACTCAAATGTGATCACTTTTTCTAAAAAAAATACGTGTACCGTTGTAAAGATTTAATTTTATTATTATAAACTTTATGGTATGAAATGACCTGCGTTCGCGATTTGAATGATCGATCTGCACGATCCGATACGTAGTGTTTTTACCCTCACTACTTTCATCACACAAAAAGGTTGCGGATCAGAATTTCAAAGACCTAGCGTTGAAATGTTCACTTCAAAAATGGAAACGATATGATACAGTTGAAAGTTTTATTGGGCGCCTGTTAAATTGTATGGAGTATTCCGATCTCGTCTTAAACACCTCTACTAAATATTTATGTGTTTAATAGGCGTTACACTAATCATTAAAACACTAGAACCAGCCCTTCCATAAGTACATTGGGAACAGCGATATTCACTCTGTTGTGGGAAATCAGAATATGTCAAAAAAGGCACGTGTGGTATTTCACAATGCTGTGTTAGGCCTTATCTTAATGTATGGTAGTGAAAGTTGTTTGTGGCCGAAGAAGAACGAGAGTAGAATAAATGCTGTAGAAATGTGGCCATTATGGAGTATGTTAGGGCTGAATCTGAATGACAGGGTGAGAAATTGTGTGATAAGAGAAGTGTGGTTTGCAAGATGATATTGTGATCAGGATTAAGAAAGGAATGCATCGGTGATTTGGTCATGTAGAAATAATAAACGAGGAAAGACTGAAAAAAGCAATTTTTATTGTAGAACTGAACGGTACGTAGAGACGGAAAGGGACGCCATAGTGAAAGTTTATCGACCAAATTGGCATTATTTTGAACATGGAATTTTAGCTTTCTGTACTCTTTATCTATAAACTTAAAGTTGGTCAAATTTCTCAATCCTCCATGCGCGTAATATGTTTAAAACGGGGTACAAAATATTCCCTTCAAGCGTTAATATACACATAAATAAATTTGAAGTATCTATCTGAAATATCGTAAATAACCCTTTTACGAGGAAAATTTCGGGAATCAAGGAAGTGACACAACATTACTATTTAAAAATGTATTTATTGCTTTTCGAAGTATTCTCCGCGAAATTTGACAAATTTTTCCATACGATGGAACCAATCATTGAAGCAACCATTCCATTCGGAAGTTGGGGTCTCCAAAATGGCCGTTTTGTAGACGTCCACAGCTTCTTCAAGTGATGAAAATCTCTGTCCACGGAATTTATTCTTTATTTTAGGGAAAGTATAGAAATCATTAGGGCTTTGGTCAGGGCTGTACGGCGGATGGTCTAATAATTCTATGTTTTCTTGCTCTTAAAACTCTTTTGTTCTGTGTGCGGTGTGAGAACTCGCATTTTCGTGATGGGGGATGATGCGGCGGTTGCAGTTCTCTTTACGGAGTTCAGAAACGACCTGTGGCAAACAAATGCTAGCATACCATTCTGCATTAACCGTTCTTTGTCCCTCAAGAGAAATAGTCGTAACATGGCCGGTTTTGGAGACAAACGTGGCCACCATTTTTTTGCAACACTCCGTGAACGAACAATTTTTGTTGTCTTTAACTCATTTTCGAACACCCAAACTCATGACTGGTTTTTTATTTCGGGTTCGTACGCGTATATCAAGGATTCGTCACCTGATACGATGTTGTATACAGCATTTGAGGATCCTGCGTGGAATCTTTCGAGAGTTCTGACGCACCAAGTAACGCGAGTCGCTTTTTGCTCTTCACAGAGCGAATGAGGTATCCATCGAGAAAACAACTTTTTTACACCTTATTGTTCATGCAAGATTATTTGTATTTGACTCATGCCAACTAAGTGTCAACTAAGGCACGTATGCCAATTCATAATGCTGTGTTAGTCCCTACTTTAATGTATGGTAGTGAAAGTTGGGTCTGGCAGAAGAAGCATGAGAGTAGAATAGATGCTGTAGAAATGCGTTCCTTAAGGAGTATGCTAGGGCTGAATCTGAATGACAGGGTGAGAAATAGTGTGATAAGAGAAAAGTGTGGTTTGCAAGATGATGTTGTGACAAGGATTAAGAAAGGAATGCTTCGGTGGTTTGGTCATGTAGAAAGAATGAACGAGGAAAGAGTGACAAAGCAAATTTATGTTGCAGAAATGAACGGCAGGGTCGGGAAGGGACGCCCTAGACGAAGGTTTATCGACCAAATCGGCGATACATTAAAATTGGGCCAGATTAGGAGTACCCTTAACCGACGAGCGTGTATGCGTAGATATATGGATGTAAAAGAGGCGAGAGAGGTGTGTCAGGATCGCGCCAAATGGAAGTCCGTAGTCTCTGCCTACCCCTCTAGGTGACAGGCGTGAGTGTTTATGTATGTATATGACTCATGCCAATGTTTAAAGTTGCCTGAATTTCGCGGTATATCACATGTCGATCTTCCTTAATCAGCTTACGCACAGCATCAACGTTTTCTTGGGTAACTGCAGTTTTTGGACGACCTTGACGGGGATCATCATTGAGCTTGACACGTCCGCGTTGAAATTCAGCAAACCAGCGATAAATTGTTTTTTTGGATGGGGCTTCATCACTAAATGCAGAAATCATCCGGTCAACACAGTTTTTGTGTTAAACCACTTCGAAAGTCATAATAAATCATCGCTCTTGAATTTTCTCGAGTCAATTCCATTTTCTCAACGACTAAACAAGTTTAGCAAAACCTTGTGACAAGACCGAGAATCTTTTTTTAAATAAATAAATGGTATTCGATTTTTAAAACCAAGGAGTTTTCAATTAAAAAGATTTTAATATGACAGGAACAGTGGAAATATTCCATTCCCGATACTTTTAGTGCAGCCTATGTATTTGTATGTCATTAAGACATGAACAACTATTTGTAAAACTTTTGTCTGTCAGTCTGTTCTTTTTTTAAATTTATATAAACAAAGTTACATTTTTAATTACAATACAATTTCTTTGTGCCATTAAACATAATTTTGTTTGCCTTGGCACACTTTTTTTTTACATAATATTGAAATTAACATTTACTTAAATATGAAGTACTCTGTCAAAATTGTTCAACGGAATATTAAAAAGAGATTTCCACAAAATATTATTTTTGTATGTGTTTGAGTGGGTCTCTCGTGTTTTGGATGCACGATAAGAGCCGGTAGGTGGCACTGTTGTCGATATACAGAAATCAGCCGTGCGAATCCGGGAAGGATCGAATATAGGTTATTTTTGCATAAATAATAATTATTGAGCATTGGTCACGAGCCATTCTCGTTTATCCTAAAATATATCCGAAATATCTTTATATTTATATTAAATAATTCTACTGTCCGTGTTTATGTGACTGACCTCCTCCTAAACGGCTATTTGGGCTACAGTTTTTTTATAGGATAAGGGCGACAAATGAGCACACAGTCCCTCTGATGGTAAGGGGTTGCTGCGGCACATAGACATCTACATCTATTCTCGATTACCAAACAAAATCCACATGCGTTGTCACCCGTGAGGGCTAAGGTGGAATGCCTTATTTCCAGTAAAAAGGATCTCCGGTTCTCTACACTTAGAATATCTACTTGTTTATTGATAATATAGGTTATTTGATAATATAGGTACTTACTTAAAACTTGTTACTAATCTTAATATCGTGATTACCAACATATTTGGCTTTATATTACCGAGTTTTGATAAACAATAAAATTCAATAGGGTTGTCGAGTTCCTTGTCTATAATACTTATCGGTGTTACTTACAAAACATCCAGGGCAAGTGTGACATAAATCTATTTAAGGGCATATGGTACCTACAAAAAGAAGCATACTGTAACACTTTCCTCATTGATGGGTAAGTGTGGCATTCTTCCATCTCAATTAGTTTTAATTACCTTAAATTACAAAATACTACTTGTAGATACTAAAATGATTGATCAAACAAACAACCACTTAATACTTGATGGTCTGAAAATTCTCTATGTTAAATCCTTAGATATTGAGGAGAAGTATTTACATGTCTATTATAAATTTAATTAATTTAAGTCACACTTGCCTCGGGTGACCTTAATTAAAATTTCGATTAACGATGATACCAGCACTAAAAGTTCATCCATCATGTGGACTATAACCTTATTTGTTACTTCAGATAAAAAAATATGATGGCCTAGGACTGTAACAATATAAAAAACGAATTACCTAATTAATTAAAACTATTGTTATAAATAGTAATAATATAATACATTCAAGTAAATTTATTATATTAAGAAAGGGTAATACATTCACATATTATTTAAATTATCAAATTTAGTTGATTACGGATAATTAAAAAAATATTTTTTTGGTATTTCGCTGCAAGTACATACACTACATACACATCACACTATGTAGTTAGACGGGTAACTCATTGCCTCAACATTTGCATACATTTATACGTTTACTTTCAGATGCTGCCAGATGGCTTTCGATATGAAATTTTCAATCAACCAGGAGGAGTTCACGAGCGAGCCGAAGTACCACTATTTGGTTAATTCAGAAAAGAGTTGCTTCGCGGATGTAAACGTCACACACAGCAATATAATACAAAATGATACAAACAATGTTACAGGTAAGATATATATATATATATATATATATATATATATATATATATATATATGTTCTGTCATATTCTATTATTATTTTATTTTGAAGATAATAATAATAACCGTTGTAGCTCCACGTTGACGACGTAGCGGGGCTTACGTATTTCTAAGATTATCTGATCATATTATAAGAGCGATTATAAGTAATAAATATATTAACAGCAACAGACTAGAAGAAACTAATAACCAAGTAATAATATAATTAAAGGATAGTAACAATTACACACAAAATACTTAATACGTGAAAAATTAACAGAAACAGAAACAGAAACTTTTTTATTCAATATAGATTATAAATAATACTTATTGAAAGTCACTCTTTTGTATGATTATCACTGGTTTGAAAAAAAAGCCTCTGTCCTGGGAAGAACCAGCAAGAAACCCAGCGGGACTTTTTTTTTAAATAACAGCTTACAATCATGTATGTTACACAAATTAACAACACAACAAATTAGAAATAGCTTGGTAGCGATCACCTCATTTCCAGGGGTTATTATCATCTATAAATTCATTAATATTATAATAACCCTTTTTATACAAACTTAGTTTAATAAAGTTTTTGAACTTTGAGCAGGTCAAATTTTGTATATTTTCTGGAATTTTGTTGTAAAAGCGTATACATCGCCCCAAGAATGAATTACTGACTCGATGGAGTTGAGTAACTGGTACTACTAGCTTGTGTCTGTTCCTAGTATTTACAGAATGAATATCACTTATTTTTGTAAAACTACTTTTACTTTTGTGTACGTACATTACATTTTCATAAATGTATTGAGAGGCCAAAGTTAATATATTAATTTCCTTAAATTTTTGTCGCAGCGACTCTTTAGGCTTTAAATCATAAATTGCTCTTATGGCCCTCTTCTGTAAAACAAATATAATTTCAGTGACTGCTGCGTGTCCCCATAGCAAAATACCATACGACATTATGCTATGGAAATAGCTAAAGCAAACTAGGCTAGCTGTTTCAACACTAGTTAGACTTCTAATCTTTTTTACGGCATATGCTGCAGAACTAAGTCTGCTTGCTAGTTTTGATATATGGGGACTCCATTGAAGCTTCACGTCTAGTGTGATTCCAAGAAAAATGGTGGTATCTACAAGGCTCAGTTTCTCCCCATTTAAAATAAGATTAGTATTTAATTGTTTGACATTTGGAGTCATAAATTTCATACATTTCGTTTTAGTGCCATTTAAATGCAAATTATTAACATTGAACCAATTTACTAATTTAGATATAGCATTATTTACTTCGTCATATTTTAGCAATTGTCGACTTAATTTGAAAATTAAAGAAGTGTCATCTGCAAATAATACTATATCATGGTTATCTCCTACTATGTAAGGTAAGTCATTAGTGTATACAAGAAACAGAAAGGGGCCGAGAATTGAGCCTTGAGGCACGCCCATTTGTACCATCGACCCGGAAGAACTCATACCGTTAATGACAACTTTTTGCGTTCTCTTACTTAAATATGAAATAATTAATTTAAGAGCATCACTTCTTACACCGTAGTGTTGAAGTTTCCTGATTAATGTTTCATGGTGAACACAATCGAAGGCTTTGGATAGGTCTCAAAATATACCCAAAGCATCCTGTGAATTCTCCCATGCATTAAATATATATTTAATCAGCTCAACACCGGCATCAGTTGTCGAGCGACCCCTTGTGAAATCAAATTGATTTTTATGAAGTAAATTATTTATATTAAAGAAATTTAACATTTGATCAAGAATATTTTTTTCAAAAATCTTACTAAGTGTTGGTAGTACAGAAATAGGTCTAAAATTGGCGGGGTCTAATGTACTACCAGATTTAAATAAAGGTATTATTTATTTATTTATTTATTTATTTACTGGAAAACTAACAGCTTAATCTTAACAAAATATAACATACATGTAAATTACAATCTAAGCCAATAAAAAGTTTTCACATATAGATAAACAATAGTCATACATAAATAACAAATTCACTTTACTGCCGGTTCAAACTAATGTTATAAAATTATTGATTGTTATTAAATTGTTGACTGTTGCTAAAATTGGAGGTGATTAATTTACAAATGGCAGAACTGTTGGTACAGAAAAGGTCCACCTTATCATAGTCTTTAGATAGTCTGTTAAATGAATTAGATGCTCTTATAAAGAAGGAATTGCGTCTGTAGTTAGTGCGATAAGAAGGTATGTGTAAGAGATTGTTACAACGTAGTGAACGAGTGGGGGTTGAGATGAGTAATTTCTTTAATAAGTCTGGACAGTCTATGTGGCCCTGAGCGATTTTTGATAGTAAAACCAGGTCTGCTATGTAACGTCTAGTTTGCAGAGGGAGAAGGTGAAGACGACCACACAGCAGCTCGTAGTTTTCTTTGGGAATGCGGAATTTTGAGCACACATATCTGATGAATCTTTTTTGGATGGATTCAATTTTATTAACGTAAATATTGTACTGAGGATTCCATATTTGACTTGCGTATTCCAGATTACTTCGAACAAGTGAACAATACAAAATTTTAATAGATTTTAAATTACGGAAACTGAAACATGATCTAATGATAAAGCCAAGAGCTTTATATGCTTTATTAACAATTTGTTCAATGTGCTGGTCATATAGTAATTTGTTGTCAATGGTAATACCCAAGTCCCTTATTTCGTTGCACCTGGATAATTCTGAGCCTTTAAGGGTATATTTAAATATGTTAATATTACGCTTACGCCCGAAAGACACACAAAAACATTTTTCAACGTTAATATCAAGTTTATTTCGCCTACAGTAATTGTCAAAATTGAGTAGATCGTTTTGTAAGTATAGCGCATCGTCGAAATTATTAACTATTCTAAATAATTTCATATCGTCAGCGAAAAGTAAAAAATTTGTGTTTAAAAAGCATTCACTTATGTCGTTAATAAAAATTACGAAGAGCAAAGGGCCAAGTAGAAAACCTTGCGGGACTCCGGAGGGGACAGGCACCCAGGAAGATGTAAATCCATTCAGAATTACCGCTTGTGATCTATTAGAGATATAGGATGTAAACCATCTAAATAAGTCACCTCTTATACCGGCTGTCGATAACTTTTCCATTAATATAGCATGATCAATACGATCAAATGCTTTGCTATAATCGGTATATATGGCGTCGATTTGATATCCTTTATCCATATTATATGAAACGAAATCCGTAAATAGCAAAAGATTGGACGTAGTGGATCTTTTTTGAAGGAAGCCATGCTGTTGGGGAATAATAGTATGTTTGATCGCCGGGTACAATTGGTTGTATACAATTCTTTCAAAGACCTTAGCAATGAGGTTTAATTTAGAAATTGGTCTATAATTCTCAATGATATTTTGTGGACCCTTTTTATGTATGGGGGTTATAAATGCGGATTTCCATCTTGATGGCATTAAGCCCTCATTAATAGATCTTCTAAAAATAAAAGTTATAGGTTTAGATAAAGTTCCAGCACATTTTGTTAGAAATAAAGCTGGTATACCATCAGGGCCAGCTGATTTTTTTAAGTCGAGCGACTTTAATAGCCTCTCTACTTCAAAGTAATTTATATTTATTGTAGAGATATCGTTTGATGTGAAAGATGATGTACAGCGTGAGATATCTTCTGGTTTAGTTGGTTGAAGGTAATTAGAATGAAAATATTGTGCAAAAAGATTACAAATATCTTGTTCTGAGTTATATGTTATACCAGAATAAGTCATACGAGAGGGATAAGATGCACCCCGACTTTTGTTTCGAATATACGACCAAAATATTTTAGAATGACTTTTTAGACTATCTTCGACGCGACAAATATATTCATTGTAAAGTGTCTTTTCGATCCGTTTAATCCTTTCTCTCAAAATTTCGAAGGTGATTTTGTCATATAAATTTCCATAGATTTTGAACTTCTTGTGGTACTTATTCTTTTCTTTGATTAATCTGACAATAGCATGATTAAACCATGGTGGGTATTTGCTATTACATTGTATACGAGAAGGAATATATTTGTCACGAATATTATATATTGTCTCGTAAAACAGTTCGACAGCATCATCCACATTACCTCTACTAAGAACTTCATCCCAGTTCACCGAACTAATGTCTAAATTTATTTGGTTATAGTCGCCTTTATTGTAAGAATAAGAGGTCAATTTGTTACGAGTCAGAGGCTGGACATCAAAGTTTACAAAAATTATCAAAGCCTTGTGATGCTGGTCTTCCAAAACTAAGGGATCTAGACAATGATTTACATTTACATAGTCATTCGACAAAACTAAGTCGAGTATTCGGTTGTAGGAATTATAAATTGTATTAAATTGTTGAAGATCACAAAAATTCAAAGTTTCTAAAAAATATTGTACATGTTCGCCCCTGGCGCCACAACCCTCGATACCACTCAGTGTATGGGACCATGTAATAGAGCTCATGTTAAAATCACCTAGAATTAAGAATTTGTCATTCGGATTAGCTGATACTATTGACTCAAGAGAATTACAGAAATTGAAGACTTGGTCGGAGAAGCATGCGCCCATATTTTCATTGCATAGATAAACAGTGCAAATATTGAGTTTAACGGGGTGTTTAGAGTAAGGGCATTTTAGTGTCATTGAAACCCAAATATCTTCTGCCTCCGAATACCACTTAGGTTCTCCTTTTGCGATTATTCTCTTGTGTAAAGCAATAAGAACCCCCCCACCTCGCGATTGTTTTGTTTTATTGAGATCACGGTCGCGGCGCCAAACGTAGTAGCGATCGTCAAATAACTCAGCATCAGATATGCCACCAAGTAACCACGTCTCCGTTAATGAAATAATGTCATAGTTGTTGAGCGCCACATTACGATAAAAATTTTCAGCTTTAGTTCTCAGCCCTCTAACATTCTGGTAATACACATATAATGAGGTCATTTTGACTGTTTACATGTATACAACTTAAATACAGAAATACAGAACAAGAAATGAGATACTATAATT